GAACATAATGAGCAACGCCTGGGCCCTTGTGGCCCACAAATATGACTTTAAACTCAGTCTCCCACCATCTACCACCTCCTGCAAGCTCAGGCTGGATTATCGCTCAGGCCGCTTTCTCTCAATCCACTTGGTCCTGGGGGTGCAACGAGAAGACACCTTGGTCTACTTGGTGAGTCACGCTCCTGATCAGGAGCAGCTCACCAGTGTGGACTGGCCTGAGTCCTTTGTGGCCTGTGAGCACTTGTTCCTGAAGCTGGTGGGGCGCTTTGCCCCTGAGAACACCTGTCACCTCAAGTGCCTCCAGATCATTTTAAGTCTCCGACAGCATCAGAGCTTACCCCACGGAGCATCCCGCCCCATCCTCACCTCTTACCACTTTAAAACAGCCCTCATGCACCTCTTGGTACGGCTGCCCCTCACGGACTGGGCGCACAACATGCTCTCTCAGCGGCTCCAGGACATTCTCTGGTTCTTGGGCCGTGGCCTCCGGCAAAGGTCCCTCCATCATTTCCTCATTGGTAACACTTTGCTGCCCCTGACCATCCCGATCCCTAAGACATTTAGGAATGCTGAGCCTGTCAATCTCTTCCAACACCTGGTGCTCAACCCCAAGGCGCATTCACAGGCAGTGGAAGAGTTCCAAAACCTTCTGACCCAGGTGAAAACTCTGCCTCATGCCCCACTGGCTGCAGCACCTTGATGTAAAGGCCATTTATAAAAAACAGATGAAGGTATTTCTAATTCCTTGGACTACAAAAGCATTTATTTTTCAGATATATCAGTGGTATATGTGACTTTCACCTTGCTAGTGGGGGCTGTGATAGTTAAGACACTTTAAGGAGTGTGTGAGGTGGTCATGAGGATGAGCCTAATGACCCTGCTGGGCCTAATCAAGGGTGGGTCATCTGAGGTTGCTTAACTTTGATCATGACCCAAAGAAGGTCCAGGGAAATGAATGTTACGGGAGGATCTCGCTGCTAAGGAGTTGAGATCCAGAGGAGGATTGTGAAGTTGTGTTTTTTTAATCAACACTGGAATCGAGAGAACCAGAGAATACCTCCATTCCGGCTTATTCCTTTTTGTGATTAACTCCCAATATGTTCCTTGTGAATTGGTTTCCTTGTTGAACTGTTAGTTTAATTCCTATCCAAGCTGGTGGCACTCCATTTTATCCTAAATACTGTGATGGGCAACTTCTCATATTTTAGGATCTAATTTTTCAAAACGTCACTATTTTGAAGATATATCCAAGGCTGGGCGCGGTGGCTCATGCCTGTAATCCCAGCACTTTGGGGGGCCAAGGTGGGTGGATCGCTTGAGCTCAGGAGTTTGAGACCACCCTGGGCAACATGGTAAAACTCGTCTCTGCTAAGATATAAAAACTTAGCTGGGCATGGTGGTGCGTGCCTGTAGTCCCATCTACTCAGGAGGCTGAGGCACAAGAATCACCAGGAGGAAGAGGTTGCAGTGAGACGAGATCATGCCACTGCACTTCAGTTTGGGCTACAGAGTGAGACTCCATCTCAAAAAAAAAAAAAAAAGAGAAAAAGAGAAAAAAGAAAATATAACCAAGATGTTTACATTCCATTTTCTTAAATTAATCCTATTTTTATATGACAATAGAGATGTTTTTATGCATCTGAAAAAGCTACCTAATTTATTAGCATTGATTTACAAATACTGTCAACAGTAACCTGTCTCATAATTGAGATAATGTATTTACCATAATCAATGAAATAGCTAACATCTGATGACCTTTTTAATGCCTGGCGGCAACATTATAAAAGCCTTCACAAGGCCAATCTTTTTGGGGGCTCTGAGATGAACAGTTACTTTGTTTCTTGGGGGAGCCACTTGTTAAATGTAAAGGTTTAGCTGCCATGTTTAGCTGTGCTTTTTCTCAGTCTGGTCATGCCTCCTTTGTATTTTATTTTTTCAAAAATGACAAAGGTATTACTTGAACTGTGTTTGTGGTTTTGAAAGAGAGGTCATCACAATCCAGGTTCATAGTCAGGTTTGTATAGGAAAGGATTGGGAAGCAGTCCACCTCTAAAATCGTGATTTTAGAGATATGATTGGTATATTTTTCCCTTGTTTCAAAACCATGGGATGCTGAGGAGGAGTGTTAAGAAATGCAACTATGGTTATGGGTATGGTTGTTTTGGAAATGCCAATGCCATTCTATCTGCACTGCCAAGAAGATCTGCTGGGGAAAGTAACCTGTCCCCACTGAATTTGACCTCAGTGGGGATCAGATGCTGGCTGTTATGGGCTTCAGTCATAGAATACATACCTTCCCCTCCAGCAAAAAATAAGTTTAAAAATGTCCCAAGGCCGGGAACAGTGGCTCACACCTGTAATGTCAGCACTTTGGGAGGCTGAGGTGGGCAGATGACCTGAGCCCAGGAGTTCAAGACCAGCCTGGGCAACATGTCACGACCCTGTCTCTACAAAAAAATAGCTGGGCGTGGTGGCATACACCTGTGGTCCCTGCTACTCTGGAGGTTGAGGCAGAAAGCCTGACCTCCTGCTTGAGCCCAGGAGGTCAAGGCTGCAGTGAGCTGATAGTGCTGCTGTACTACAGCAAGCCTGGGAAAAACAATGAGACCCTGTCTCAAAAAAAAAAAAGTCTCCCAGAAGCTGATGCCAGTCAGTATTCTGGGCTCCCAGTACACAATAGCTACTGCGTTCCCATGTTGACTGTGTCTGTCAGGTACTGCTTTCAAGGCAAGATGCAATGATGTTTGGTTCTCTGCTGGTGGGATTTTGGTGTTTTAGAAACATCCATATACTTTTCGTTTAGAAAATTATTTGCTGATGTTTTAAGTTACAAGTCAATAAAGGAGACTATTTTCTGTATACATTGGAATCTATGCAGTAACACAGTCGGCAGATCAGCATTCTCACATGCCTGTTCCCAAGAAGTTCATGATACCCTAATAGCTCCATTCAGTACATCCTGGTATTTCTCAGTGTACTTTGAACCAGTCTGCCTTGTGGTTTCCCAGTGGCATGGCCAATAGCCAGAAAAGAACAAGGAAAATCTAAGTGATTAATTTTCATGGTGCCCAAACCAAAATATCAGCCAAATTAGAAGATCTTAGTGGTTACAAACAACGTGCATAAACTCGGAAAGTCTGCTCAGGTAGAAAGAAGGTGGTATGATTTCTAGGAGTTGGTTGTCTCTAGTCTAATAGATTAAAAAAGAAAACAAAGACCAGGTGTGGGTACAGTAGCTCATGCAAGTAATCCCAGCGCTTTGGGAGGCCGAGGTAGGCAGATCACTTGAGGTCAAGAGTTCGAAACCACCTGGCCAAAATGGTGGAACCTCATCTCTACTAAAAATTTTAAGGAATTTGCCAGACATTGTAGCGGGCGCCTGTAATCCCAGCTACTCAGGAGGCTCAGGCAGGAGAATCGCTTGAACCCAGGAGGTGGAGGTTGCAGTGAGCCGAGATCACACCATTATACTCCAGCCTGGGTGACAGAGTGAGATTCTGTCTCAAAAAAAAAAAAAAAAGAAAGAAAAGAAAACATAAAAGATGATTACAAAGGGAGCAGTCAGCAAAGCTTGAGTGGGGCAGAGGGTGCAAGAAAGAGAACTTAAAAAAAAAAAAAGTAGTAATGGAAAGGACAGACCTGTAGTGCTCTGGGAATACTCTTACAATTAAAGAGGAAACCTCTCCAGATAGGAAGTTAAGCTTTATTCTAAAACAAAACCTAGCTAGCCCCCAGGATACAACAGCAGTTATAGTAACATGAATGCTTAGTGTTCACTGAGCTTTCCCAGTGTTCAGGACACTGTTCTGATGCATCTGGTAATTCATTTAATCTTCATACTATAACCCCATGAAATGGGCCCTTCATCCCCTCCATTTTACATGTGAGGAAACTGAGGTGCAGAAAGGGTATGCAACTTCCCCAAGGTCACATAGCTAGTAAGTGTCTGGAAGAAACTATCTGCCCTAGCAACCTTTCAGCTTGGTCTTGGAAATAAAACAAGATTTAAGGGTTAAAGGGCTTTGAAAGGCAAAAAGTACTATATTTTAGAAGATGGTATGTTACTGTTTAGAAATTCTAGAAGACAGAAATTGTTGGTTTGTAGCCCAATCTTAGAGAGGTCAGGAATTTCATATAACATGCAAAAATTAAAGGTATTTACTTAGAGGCCAAAATGAATGCAAAGCCATTTCAACTACTTGCCCACTGAGTCCCAGGGACTTGATGGTTTCTATCATAGACTACATCTTTATATAAGCCAGCTGCAGACTGGGAGGTTAGGGCAAATTTGAAGCCAAAAGATTGCTTGTTCAGGTGGCCAATGGATAACGCTATTGTTCCTCACCTAAACTAAGGCAGTTTCCCATTTATCTGGGGGAAGTAGAATCTCCATGAAGAGTAAAGTGGGGTGGGGAAGGGAGATGACAACGCCAGCTCTGCTTTTCTGGCAGCCCAGGAGCAGTGGAGGAAGCTTACTACTTTACTTTTGCACAAATAGAGTTATTGAGCTTTGTACACCACTGACACCAGTGATAAATCATTCACTCTTTTGGCACCCTTCATAGCCCTAACAACAAAACAAAGATGGCATTCGGAGCAGGAGGTGAAAGACCTGCCTGCACAAGGCAGCCCTGGTCCACAGAGATGCTGGGCATGGAACTGGCTTTGCCTCCTTGCACATGAAGCTGGAAGCAGCTCAGATGACTCCATTACCCCCACAGAACAGCCTCAAGGCTCACCTTTCCTCTGCCAGGGCTTCCAAGCTCTTCTTCAGAGGCTCCTGATTCAGCGTGTCACCTCCCAACCCTTGCTGCTCTTAGTGTAGATATGGAATCCAGAGGATCACACTTGTCCCAATGACCTCCCTCAGATGCATTCAGCAGAAATCAAGTGAGGGAGATGACAGGGACCCTAGCATAGACTGAGCAAGTTCAGTGAAGGGGATACTGCCTTCCCTGTTTTATAGGTGAGGAAGAAAATGAGGCCCAGAGAGGTTAATGTGCCCAATCCAGGATTTAAACTTGTCTTCCAACTGTACTCATTGAATACATATTTAAGTACTTGCTGTATCAGCCAGCACCAGGCAGTGGGAAAACCATGATGAGCAGATATGCCTTCATCCGCATGGAGCTGACAGTCTATGGAGGAGACAGACATGAAACAGTCACCCTAGGGCATGTAAAATCGCAGCTCTGACAAGTTCTCCTGAAGCCTCCAGTATGGAGAGTTATCAGGGAAGGCCTCCTTGAGGAACTAAGGGGAGCAGAAACTTGATTGGAACCATGGGGGTGAAGATGGGGATGAAGAGGATCCTAGCTAAAGGAGTGTGTGTGTGTGCAGAGGCCCAGTGTTAGGAGCAGACGTGATGAGGGGAATCTGAAGGCCAGGGGGTGCAAGGTCCCCAAGGAGGCTGGAGAGGCTGCCAGGGTGGGGAGGAGGGGCAGGCAGACCCCTCCAGGGCCTTGAAGGACGCTTAGAGGTTCCCAGGGCAGTGGAACCCCTGAAGGGTAACACTCCGGAAGGAAGTGGTAGGGGAGAAGTGGGAGTGACAGCTCAGATTTGGACTTCTGCAAAGAACACTCGGCCTGAGTAGGGGGTCAGAGCAGGCCATTGAGAAAGTAAAGTGGATGGAAGGAGAGGGGCAGGATTGGAGATTTTGAGGAGGTGAAAAGAGGTTCCTTGACAATGGATTGTGTGGGGAGAGAAAGGGAGGGAGCCCCCTAGGATGACACCTGGGTGCTGATTTGGGTTCTCACGTGGCTGATGGTATCATTTGCTGAGATGAACAGTGTCAACCCCTTTCCTCTAACTCACACAGCCTTACACTGAAGATGTTAAGGTGGTCACTAGATGAACAAGTTTATACGAACAACAAATAGGCTTAAAAAGTGGTTTTTGACAAGGCACAGTGGCTCACGCCTATAATACCAGCACTTTGGGAGGCGGAGGCAGGTGGATCACCTGAGGTCAGGAGTTCGAGACCAGCCTGATCAACATGGTGAAACCCCATCTCTACTAAAAATACAAAAATTAGCTGGGCTTGGTGGAGGGCGCCTATAATCCCAGCTATTCAGGATGCTGAGGCAGGAGAGTCACTTGAACCCAGGAAGTGGAGGTTGCAGTGAGCAGAGATTGCACCATTGCACTCCAGCCTGGGTGACAGAGCAAGACTCAGTGTCAGAAAAAAGTGGTTTTCAACAAACGGTGGCACTTTTTGGTTGCCAAAATGACTGAGAGCACTGACGGCATTTAGTGGGCAAATGGGGTCAGGGAGGCTCAAGAGCCCACAAAGAGGGTAAACATCCTATCATGGCAAGAATTGTTTCACCCTGAATGCCAATAGTGCCCTTGAAGAGAAAGAGTATAAAAGATGCCAGATATGAGAGTTACAATAAACCCTAGGATGTGCTAGGGATATTCCAGGGAATCATCCTGACCTTTACCCCCATAATTCAATAATTAGGGTCAGATGAAGCTAGAAGAACAGACGGCATTTTATGCTCATTTCGCTTTTTCGACCTTGTTTTTTTGAAGGGTGGGGGTGGTTTCCAGGAAGCTTTTCACAAGAATCTGAAAACGATGGCCTTCATCTGTTGTTTTTTTTTTTTTTTTTTTTTTTGAGACACAGTCTTGCTCTATTGCCCAGGCTGGAGTGCAGTGGCACGATCTCGACTCTCTGCAACCTCCACCTCCCGGCTTCAAGTTATCCTACTGCCTCAGCCTCCCGAGTCGCTGGGACTACAGGCGTGCGCCACCACATCCAGCTAATTTTTGTATTTTTAGTAGAGACAGGGTTTCGCCATGTGGGCCAGGCTGGTCTTGAACTCCTGACCTCGTGATCCGCCCTCCTCGGCGTCCCAAAGTGCTGGGATTACAGGCGTGAGCTAGCGTGCCTGGCCGCCCTTCATCTTATACTGTATTATTTTATGCTATACTAAATGTACATATAGCATTTCTGCATCATTTTTTCCCCCGCCTTCCTCATTCCCTTGTTAGCTCCCGCTCCCTTCCGTCCCTCTCCCCCAGGTTTTCAGCGGCTGCGCACACAATACAGGCCTCTACAGGAAATAAACCTTGTTTTCTCGGTCATCCGCCTCCCCATTAGAAAGTAAATTCCACGAAAGACGGGCTCGTCCTGCTCGACAGTGGGTCCCCAAGTCCAGTCCTGCACCTAGTGCTCAAAAGGAGGGCGTTTTCATACTATTTCAGGGGTTCCATAGACTCCAAGAAGTCCACTCACATGAGGCCCTCAAGCCAGAACGCCTCACTCCGGCGCTGCCCGAGCAAGCCCCAGGTGGTCTGCGCAGGCGCGTTGCTGGCCCCGCCCGCCGGCGACGTCACGCGGCCGTTAGGGCGCTCAGGCGTCTCGACGCGCGCAATTTAAAACCAGCTCTGGAGACGCCGAAGCAAGATGGGACCTCCTGGCCCAGGTGAGGCGGCGCCACTGGGAGGCGCGGCGGGAAGGGCCCGGAGTGAAGCAGTGCTTCGGGCGGGCAAGGCTGGCGGGCTGGCCTGGGAGGGGAGAGGGGATATGCTCAGCCTGGGTCTCGGCCCTGCGGCCGAGGTCAGAGGCAGGTGTGGGGGGAGGGGAGGGAGGCCCCTGTGCGCTCAGCCAATCAGGATGCGGCTTCAGCCGGCGTCGGAGCCCGCGCAGGACCTGCCCCACTACTCAGTCCCGGCGCGGGCGGTGGGGCGGCTTCTTCACCAGGCTCCTGAAGCATGTTCGGTGTCTCTCCATTTAAAAGGTGGTTTTCCTGGAATAGACGTTATTTTCAGGGCCTTGGAAGCGATATGATTACCGTTGTATGCTTGGCAGGCATGGATTTATTTTTGCGTTCAGAAGTATTGAGCACTGTCGTTGGGCGCTCCCTCTGAACAAAACTGATAAAATCTCTATATTGTTGGAGCTGAGGAGACAATAAGCAAAAGAAATAATTACTAAAAAACGTGAGGCTGAATGCTGTGATTGAGAATAGCGGAGGGTTGGGGATGGCTCCGCTAAGGGTTCAGGGAAGATCTTTAGGAAGAGACTAAGGAACGTGTTTCAGGCAGAAGGATCAAGTACAAAAATGAGGCAGGGGAGAGCCTGGCCTAGCCTAGCCTGGGATCTGACCAGAACATTGTGACCAAGCTTAGTGAGGTCTGACATGTAGGCAGGGTCTGGAGGCCTTGGTAAGAGGTTTGGAAATTTAGTTACGTTTTGGACATGGTATGTGTGACTTACCGGAGAGACACTCAGGTGAAGGAGTCTGTAATCACTTAGATGAAAGTTTGGCTCTCAGGGGAGTTATATGGGCCACTCAGGGAAGTGGCCCATGGAGTGAGACATAAATCTTGGATACCCTTATCATATAGATCATGGAACCATGGGAACAGGTGAGAACACCAGGAAGGCCTTGCACATGTAGGACCAACATTTAGAAGCTGGATAGAGAAGTATGAGCTGGGAAAACTCAAAAGACAGTGATATAGAAGCCAAGAGTGTTTCAACAAGGAAGGGACTGTCAGCTTTTTCAAATGCTGCTGAATTCCAAGAGAAAGACCAGAAAAGTGACCATAGGCTTTGGCAACATGGAAGTTGTAGATGATCACGACAAGGTAGTTTTCATAAACTTGGAAAAGGAACCAGACCAGAGTGGGTTGAAAATGAGTAGGAAATGAGGAAGTAGACATAGGAAGTGTCTTTGAGCTTAGTAACGTTCGGTTGAATGAGAGGATGCATAATATGAAAGGCAAGGAGAGAAACCATGGAAAGAAGATTTGGACAATTAAAGCATGCCTCTAATTCCAAGTTCAGTTTCTTAGACAAGGTTCTCCTTCAGTGCTTCCTATTTCTGTTAGGATCTCTTCTCCGAAAGTCTAGCTTCCTTCCTTAGCCTGTAGCCTGCTGTGCTGACATCCAAATACTGTCTTTGCAAGTCCTCTTGATTCTTTGCAAGTCCATTTCTAAAAATGTCTCTTGCCTCCTTCCTATTTTTACTTTGTTTTGACCCCAGGTAAGAGTTGTGTTAATCGTACTCTTCAGCTTATGAGAAGCCATCAGGGGACACCTGAGGTTCTTGTATTTTATTTATTCCCTTTTATCCCTGTTCACCACCCCTATTCTTCCCTCACATGGGCAACCATTTCATGTTTATTGTGTATCACTATTTAATGTTTTCCTATTAAATATGTGTTGTACATTATTTTTTCCTTTGTATCATCAATTCTGAACCAGTTAAAGTCTAAATTCTTGTTCCCATTTGGGGGATGAAACAAATTCTTAGAGCATTTACTTGCTTAAATTTCACCAGCTAGTAAATGGCAGAGCTGGGGTTGAAGCCAGGCTTTCTGGTTCTTAAACTTGGAAACCTTCCCTAAGGTCTCTCAGTTCGATCATCTTTCTCTTTCAGTGATCTTGTTTCTTGCTCTACTATAGTAGGCCACAACCACTCACTTACTACCATAGTCACACCCTAGACCTCGTCATTAATAGGTGCACTACTCTGTCATCTTAACTTTAAGTACTCTACTTTTTTTTTTTTTAATTATTATTTTTAGAGGCAGGGTCTTTCTGTTTTGCCCAGGCTGAAGGGCAGTGGCTATTCACAGGTGCTGTCATAGCTCACTGAAGCCTTGAACTTCTGGGCTCAAGCAACCAGCCTCCTGAGTAGCTGGAACCACAGGTGCCTGGCAAAGTACCCCACTTCTCAGTACCACCTGTATCTTTCTAATTGGCTCTCTCTTTTTCCCTGATTCCAACAATTTTTTTTTTTTTTTTTTTTTTTTGAGACAAAGTCTTGCTCTGTTGCAGGCTGGAGTGCAGTGGCTCCATTTTGGCTCATTGCAACCTCTGCCTCCCAGGTTCAAATGATGCTCCTGCCTCAGCCTTCCAAGTAGCTGGGACTACAGGCATGTGCCACCACACCTGGCTAATTTTTGTATTTTTAGTAGAGACAGGGTTTTGTCGTGTTGGCCAGGCTGGTCTCCAACTCCTGACCTCAAGTGATCCTCCTGCCTCAGCCTCCAAAAGTGCTAGGATTACAGGTGTGAGCCACTGCACCTGGCCTTGTTTTTACTTCCTATTTTGGTGGGGGGGGGGTGAGACCATCCCCAAGTCTGCAATTGCACCTGCTACTTACCTGCATCTGTGCCTGTTCCTCTGCCTTTTCTCTTTTTGCTGAGGACGGGCTCTCTGTGATCTCTACAAAGGCAACCTCTTTACCTACTTGAGTACATTGTTCAGCAAATTTTACCCTTTTGCATGATCACTGTGATAAGCTGAATAACTTCCCCTATAAGGTGTCCAGAACCTGTGAATATGTTATCTTACATGGTGAAAGGAACTTTGCACATGTGATTAAGTTAAGGTTCTTGGGAAGGAGAGATTATCGTGGATCATCTGGGCAGGCATAGTGTAATCACAATGCACCTTATAAGAGGAAGGTAGTCCTGTCAGAGTGAGAACAGATGTGATGACGGAAGAGGTTAGAGTGATTGGGGGACAGTGAGCCAAGGAATATAGGCAGCTCTGAAGCTGCAAAAGGCAAGGAGCAGATTCTCCCCTAAAGCCTCCAGAATGAATGTTACCCTCCACAGCTGCAAGAGAACACATACATATGTGTTGTTTAAACTGCTAAGTTTGTTGTCATTTGTTACAGCAGCCATGGAAAACTAGTACTATCTCTTTTCTTCATTCTTTCTACCATGCTGAGGGCTTTTTTTTTCTATTTTAAAAATTTCTCACTTCCCTTACAACTCTGACCCTCTCATTTCTCTCCTCCCTTTTGCTACTGTAAATCATCCTTGAACACCTGTCAGTGTTTGCTGTCTCCAGTTTCTCTTCTCCCATCTTCTCTTGAACCACTCCAGTTCAGCTTTCTCTCTTACTACTCTAGGAAAACTATTTTTGTCAAGATCACCAGTAACTCTAGGTTGATAAATCCAATGATGAGTTCTCAGTCCTCGTCTACATAGTTTATCACATCCTCCTCCCCTGAAATACTTTCTTCACCTGGCTTTTGGAATGCCACATTCTCCTGATTTTCTCCCCACTTCACTAGTTACACATTTCCCACTTCTTCTGCTGGTTTCTCCTCCTTTCCTACTCTTTATTTTTACTTATTTATTTTTTGTGACAGAATCTCACTGTGTTGCCTCAGCCTCCCAAGTAGCTGGGATTACAGGCGCCCACCACCATGCCCGGCTAATTTTTGTATTTTTAGTAGAGATGGGGTTTCAACACGTTGGCCAGGCTGGTCTCGAACTGCTGACCTCAAGTGATCTGCCTGCCTCAGCCTCCCAAAGAGCTTTCCTGCTCTTTAAACCTTCAAAGTGTTCTGGGACTCAGCCTCTTTCTCTCTCTACTCAGTTATTTAGTGATCTTATCTAATATTATGGCTGTGAATACCCTCTGCATGCTGGTGACTTCCCAGTATGTGTTTCTCACCTGGAACTTTCCCTAAATCTGAGAATAGATGTTCTCTCTGGGATTAGATATTCTCTCTGGGATTAGATATCCACCTGCCTACCCCAGTTGGATGACTAATAAGCATTTTTTTTTGAGAGTTGCATTCTTGTTGCCCAGGCCGGAGTGCGATGGCTCAATCTCTTGGCTTATTGCAGCTTCTGCCTCCTGAATTTAAGCGATTCTCCTGCCTCAGCCTCCCGAGTAACTGGGATCACAGGTGCCTGCTACCACACCCGGCTATTTTTTTGTATTTTTAGTAGAGATGGGGTTTCACCACGTTGGCTAGGCTGGTCTCAAACTCCTGACCTCAGATAATTCACCTGCCTTGGCCAAGTGTTAGGATTACAGGCGTGAGCCACCATGCACCAGGCCATAATAAGTATCTTAAGCCTAACATATCCAAAATAGAGCCCTGAACTTGCCTCTTTTCCCTGCAAATATGCTTTTCCTATATCTTCCTCTCAGAACATGGCAGCTCCATTTCATCAGTTGTTAGGATAACCTTGCAGTCATCCTTGAGTTCCTTGTTTTCTTTCATGTCTCATATTTGATCAGGAAATCATGTCAGCTACATTAAGACTAAATCCAGTGTCAGAACACTTCTCACCTCCTCCACTGCCACCTCTCTGGTCTGAGGCAGACCTAGTTTTCTCTTGTCCTAGTTATCAGCAGTTGCCTTCTAACTTTTCTTCCTGTTTATCGATTCTTGCTCCCTTTTCAGTCTGTTCCTAGCATCATAGCCAGAAGGATCCTCTTGAAGCGTAAATTAGGTCATTTGATTTCCTCTTCTTATCATGGTCCAATCACTCCCCTTCTCGTTTTATATACAAAGTCCGGTCTT